ATCAAGCAAGTCTAACCTACACATACACATACATTAGATACGTTCACGCGTGAGTGGTTTGCTCAGTCCAACGGTCAACAGGTTGGAAAATGGTTCGTGGGATGACATGTCAATTCAATGTGTAATATGATCACTGGTATAAACTGGTATAAACCTAACTGATAAACAGTAGTGGGCATTATTTGGGAATTCAGTGGGGTATTTGATAGGCATTGTGGTATAGGTCATTCTGTTCTTTGTTTATAGGAAGTCTATTTGTTGAGGTTAAGATCCCCACAAGAAGAAACTAATCTATGTGGCCAGTCAACTTTTTGACATTCTGGTCTTTGTGCAGACAACTGGTGGTCTTTGTCCAGACAACTGGTGGTCTTTGTGCAGACAGCTGGTGGTCTTTGTCCAGACGACTGGTGGTCTCTGTTATTGTGGTCTCATAGTACTATAGCAGTTATGCATTGATACCCCCACCTCGTGTACACTGACAGTTCCCACCCACACCGTGTACACAGACCGTTCCCGCCCACCTCGTGTACACTGACAGTTCCCATCCACCTCGCGTACACTGACAGTTCCTACTCACCTCGTGTACACAGACAGTTCCCACTCACCTCGTGTACACTGACAGTTCCTACTCTCCTCGTGTACACGGACAGTTCCCACTCACCTCGTGTACACTGACAGTTCCTACTCACCTCGTGTACACTGACAGTTCCCATCCACCTCGTGTACACTGAGAGTTCCCACTCACCTCGTGTACACTGACAGTTCCCACTCACCTCGTGTACACTGACAGTTCCCACTCACCCCGTGTACACCGACAGTTCCCACTCACCTCGTGTACACTGACAGTTCCCACTCACCTCGTGTACACTGACAGTTCCTACTCTCCTCGTGTACACGGTCAGTTCCCACTCACCTCGTGTACACTGACAGTTCCTACTCACCTCGTGTACACTGACAGTTCCCACCCACCTCGTGTACACTGACAGTTCCCACTCACCTCGTGTACACTGACAGTTCCCACTCACCTCGTGTACACTGACAGTTCTCACTCACCTCTTGTACACCGACAGTTCCAGTCACTGCTGTTAGTCAATTAATCTATAGGTGCAGTCGTTCCTGTGAATTGCTTCCATCCGCAGTTCTGATCACCCCATGCATTTTACACGGGGACGTCGACCCAGTCTTTGTTTATACAACTTTTTTTTTGGCCAACTAGATTGCTTCTTAAAGCCCGGATGTTTACACACAAGCCGGCTGGAGCGCTATCCACCTGTGGTTTACATGTATAAAACCCTTTCACATGTGCCTCAAGCGGCATTAAGCGGTTTGACATGGTCTCTGGAGCTGTCTTTCGGTATAATAAATTATCACTTCTGTCTCAATTCACTTTGGAAATAGGCTGAGAGGGAGCTGTCTTTGAGTATGATAAACTATCACTTCTGTCTCACTTCACTTTGGTAGTAATAGGTTGAGAGGAAGCTGTCTTTGAGTTATAATAAATATATTTTTTTATCGCTTCTGTCTCATTTCACTTTGGTAATATGCTGAGAGAGAGAGAGAGAGCTGTCTTTGAGTTATAAAAAAACTATGAATTCTGTCTCACTTCACTTTGGTAGTAGGCTTAGAGGGAGCTCCTGTTTATTGGACTAAATTATAAAGTTGTGTGACAGGAGACATCCGTGTGGTGTTAAAAAAAAAATAATAATAAAAATAGAGGATTTATTTTATATGCTTTCTAGGCTATAAGATAGTAGGCCTACATCATGCACCACACTAAATGTTATTTTTGTAAAGTCTGAAATAAAATGTGAACTATTGTGTATTAACTATTGTGTATTAACTATTGTGTATTAACTATTGTGTATTAACTATTGTGTATTAACTATTATGTATTAACTATTGTGTATTAACTATTATGTATTAACTATTGTGTATTAACTATTGTGTATTAACTATTGTGTATTAACTATTGTGTATTGACTATTATGTATTAATTATTGTGTATTACCTATTATGTATTAACTATTGTGTATTAACTATTATGTATTCACTATTGTGTATTAACTATTGTGTATTGACTATTATGTATTAATTATTGTGTATTACCTATTATGTATTCACTATTGTGTATTAACTATTATGTATTAACTATTATTTATGTGAGGAATGCAACATCCCTGACCTGAATACAAATAAAAATCGGCGACATCACCCGTGAAAAGCTGTTAATGAGTTGTCGTTCCTGGTAGCCAGTGTCAAGGTATTAGCCAGTGTCAAGGTATTAGTCTATTGGTTGTCTTTGATGCTGTCAAATATTTGTGGTTCACAGCATGTCATGCTATTAGATGTCTGGTTGTTTCTGGCAGTATGTCATGATATTAGATGTCTGGTTGTTTCTGGCAGCATGTCATGCTATTAGATGGCTGGTTGTTTCTGGCAGTATGTCAAGCTATTAGATGGCTGGTTGTTTCTGGCAGTATGTCAAGCTATTAGATGGCTGGTTGTTTCTGGCAGCATGTCATGCTATTAGATGTCTGGTTGTTTCTGGCAGTATATCAAGCTATTAGATGGCTGGTTGTTTCTGACAGCATGTCATGCTATTAGATGTCTGGTTGTTTCTGGCAGTATGTCAAGCTATTAGATGGCTGGTTGTTACTGAAGTGCTTGAGTGATAGAAGCAGCGTGGTTGGGTTGACGACTATCAAATAAAACTTGAACGCCAGTTTAACAAGCTTGAAGAGTTTATTTACACTTGCACATCAGTTCCCAGCAGCAGACTAGGCTTGGCGAGACATGACTACCGACAGTTTCCTCAGTCGACTCACTCCTGCTAAAAGGCCTTTTGCTCTATTCAAATACACCCCAAGGTCCGGAAATCTCAAGCTCTCGACATCTCTCTAAGCGTTCCCTCTCAATCTCTCCACAAGCCACTCGTTTTAAAACACCCACACATCTTTCAACCAATGGAAACAAACGCCTCTGAAACATGGACACAAACGTCCATGGGACATGGACACAAACGTCCATGGGACATGGACACAAACGTCATTGGGACATGGACACAAACGTCTTAGGGACATGGACACAAACGTCACTGGGACATGGACACAAACGTCCTTGGGACATGGACACAAACGTCCTTAGGACATGGACACAAACGTCCTTGGGACATGGACACAAACGTCATTGGGACATGGACACAAACGTCTTAGGGACATGGACACAAACGTCATTGGGACATGGACACAAACGTCTTAGGGACATGGACACAAACGTCCTAGGGACATGGACACAAACGTCCCTTGGACAAGGAAAAACTCATTGGGACATGGACACGAACGTCTTTGGGACATGATGTAATTACAACAGCTCACTTAACCTGTTTACTGTGTATCTTCTAACACACGTCCTTGACCCCTTTCATCCAATGAGCGCACACATCCTTGACACCTTTCAACCAATGAGCGCACACGTCCTTGACACCTTTCATCCAATGAGCGCACACGTCCTTGACACCTTTCATCCAATAAGCGCACACGTCCTTGACACCTTTCAACCAATGAGCGCACACGTCCTTGACACCTTTCATCCAATGAGCGCACACGACCTTGACACCTTTCCACCAATGAGCGCACACGTCCTTGACACCTTTCAACCAATGAGCGCACACGTCCTTGACACCTTTCAACCAATGAGCGCACACGTCCTTGACACCTTTCAACCAATGAGCGCACACGTCCTTGACACCTTTCATCCAATGAGCGTACACGTCCTTGACACGCACTTTTATGCGTTTTAATTCCAGCTGTGCGCTTGACATGTTTCAAATCAAACATTGACCCATGATTCCATGATCTTGTCATCCAGATGATGAACAGATGTTAATGAGTTGTCATTCCTTTTGTAGTCAGCTGTCAGAAAATAGAAAATTAGGGGGAAAAAAAAACAACAATTGTTTTTTTGTCACCAGAAATAATAGCCTATTTAAAGGCAATTTAAAGAGCTTTGTACTAGAACCGTTGTAGTCTCAGTTGTAGCAATGAACATCGTCACAGTGTTAGAGCCACTGTGTTAGGAATGAACTCCGTCACAGTTTTAGAACCGCCGTTGTATTTTTATAAAGTGACCTCGGCGTATGTCCTCAATGACATCTGGTCCCAAGCAGGAAGCCATAAAGAAAGTATTATCGAAAGGTTAACCTGATGGCGCATATTGCAGGACTTTGTTGAGACTTATGGTACAATCACGGTGGTCGACCATTAAATGGTTGACTACCACTATATAATGTCTTCCTCCGACACCATATAACGAATTTTGTGACAATTTTGTTACAGATAGAACCTTGTGAATGGGGATGTAGAACTTAGAAGACCGTATGTAAATGACCATCACAGCAGGGCAAGCACAGGTGAGCCATTTTCTACCCTGTGACCGCAGACACGGGTATACAAGGACCTGCTACTGCGATTGACATTAAACTTAAACATGGCATTTAACTTAACCTGACATTTAACTTAAACTTGGAATTTAACTTAAACTTGACATTTAACTTAAACTTGACATTTAACTTAAACTTGACATTTTACTTAAACTTGACATTTAACTTAAACCTGACATTTAACTTAAACTTGACATTTAACTTAGACTTAACATTTAATTTAACTCGACATTTAACTTAAACCTGGCATTTAATCCAGTGTGTCCGGCTTCACTGAAGTTTTGTTTAATTCGTCGTCGGTTTTGCAGAGTGACTTTATGGTAAACTCTCAAACAGGATATGAACATGTATACGTGTCTCGGCGTGTACACGGTAAAAAGGAAGGTGGGGTGGGGGGGATATGAACAACAGCTTGGGAACATGGTGGATGTATGTCGGTGAGATTAAGCTTGCTTTCTCAAATAAAACTATCGATCTTAACATAGGCCTACTTTCAATAGGCGCAGGTATATATGAGCGATAATGTTTTACCGTAGTGGACAGTGATGATTTATTGTCAACTAACATGTTCAGTTACAGCCGTCGTCTTCTGGGCTCGGGTCAACTGAGTGCGATTGAGAACGGAATAAAATGACACTGGACCATTGCAAAAACTGGTTTATGAGGTTTGTAGCGAGAGCACGTTTCTAGGAGTTGTGTTTGAAACAGTGACGTATTTTTTTAATTTTACCATCTGGTGTGGATGTTCAACGATTGTGTAACGTAGTTATTGTTTATGTAATGATTGTATTGTGCAATGATTGTGTTATGTAATGATTGTGCTGTGCAATGAGTGTGTTATCTAGCGGTGATACATGTCGTGTTTCGATGAGGACATGTATTATTCCAAGTATTATAATGGCTTCCTCCGATACCAAATAAAGAAACTGTATAATGGCTTCCTCCGATACCAAATAACGAAACTATATAATGGCTTCCTTCGACACCAAATAAAGAAACTATATAATGGCTTCCTCCGACACCAAATAAAGAAACTATATAATGGCTTCCTCCAACACCATAAAAATAAACTAGTCGCTTCAACCACGACTAGCAAAGTCATTTCACGTAGGACTAGCACATTCACTTCACACATGACTAGCACAGTCACTTGACACAGGATTAGCACAGTCATTTCATCCGGGACTAGCACAGTCACTTCATACAGGACTAACACAGTCACTTCACACAGGACTAGCACAGTCACTTCACACTGGACTAGCACAGAGCCATTGTTTTAGTTGTTCAAATTTTAAATTGTGTGTTTAGTCCCGACCCCGACACTCATATATTTTGTTTATTACATTCTCTTTCACTTGGTCTGTTAAGCTCTTTTATCACGCTGTTAAACTTTGTTAAAAAATTAGGGACATTAGTATGTAAAGTTTGAATGAAAAGGAAACTGATACTATATATATAAAACACACCTTGAACTAGTATCTAATCTATTTGACGGCGACACATCAACGAAGGGGCTCTATAGGTATGGAGGTTCTTATGTGGGATAAAGTGGGTCACATCGGTGGGTGCTGCGGGTCGCCAGGTGAACGTAGTCAACATATAAGTCGTATTGTGTCATGTTTGAAATGTCCCGTAGCCAGGGCAGTCGCAAGGAAAAGTTGTGCCCGGGGCAGAGTCTGAAGCTAGGCCCCCCCCCCCTCTCCCCAAAAGATATATTAAGACATATTTTGGCAACCTCTGAAGATGGCACCCGGGGTGGGTGCCCCCTTCGCCAGGCAATGCATGTAACTTTTTCAACAGAGTTGCACACCAAACTGCGTACAATTTTACTCAGTTCCCTTGCTTTGTAATTGTAGGTTAAACTCTTAAACATCAACATATAAGTCGTATTGTGTCATGTTTGAAATGTCCCGTAGCCAGGGCAGTCGCAAGGAAAAGTTGTGCCCGGGGCAGAGTCTGAAGCTAGGCCCCCCCCCCTCTCCCCAAAAGATATATTAAGACATATTTTGGCAACCTCTGAAGATGGCACCCGGGGTGGGTGCCCCCTTCGCAAGGCAATGCATGTAACTTTTTCAACAGAGTTGCACACCAAACTGCGTACAATTTTACTCAGTTCCCATGCTTTGTAATTGTATGTTAAACTATTAAACATTGACTCGCTACTTTTAGATTTAGTGAGACTGCGGGTTCAATTCAGTTTTTTTTTTTAAATATTGAAAAGCAGGTGCATTTAAATTATTTATCGTTAATTGTCTTTTTCTTCTTTCTTTTGCTGAAACAACACGTTTTCAAATTAATCATTAAAAATAAAAAAAATAAAAAATAATTTGATAATTTGATCTCTCCCCCCCCCCCCCCCCTTTTTTTTCTTTTTCATTTTTTTCTTTCAAAATATTTTTACAAAAAATAGTTTATTGGAAGTATTGCATTTATTTATAAATACAAAAAGAATTCGTTTGTTTTATTTGGAAACAAATATTTGAATCGCAAGATTTCTCTATTTTTAGTATTGCTACGTGACCTCGCCTTCTAACGTTAAAACAGTAGAAATATCAAATTGAACATGAACATAATGTCATTTATCAAAGTTTGTGTTTATAAAAATGAAAGGTTAAGTTACATCTCAAGTTACAGGTTCTTACAGCCATTTTTCTTATTGCGCCTGCAGTTACTGCGCTACTGTTACATTTATATTTAAACTAAATATTACATGTCTGTAACGCGAGGCAGTATCAGATCATTTGACAGTATAGGATCACTTGACAGTATCAGATCATTTGACAGTATCAGATCACTTGACAGTATAAGATCACTTGACAGTATCATATCATTTGACAGTATCAGATCACTTGACAGTATCAGATCACTTGGCAGTATCAGATCAATTGACAGTATCAGATCATTTGACAGTACAAGATCATTTGACAGTACAAGATCATTTGACAGTACAAGATCATTTGACAGTATCAGATCATTAGACAGTATCAGATCATTAGACAGTACCAGATCATTAAACAGTATCAGATCATTTGACAGTACCAGATCATTTGACAGTACAAGATCATTTTGATGTTGACAAACTTTGCGTGATACAAGTTTTTGAAATGTCATTAATGTTGTATCTTCCTATGTCCAGTTCCCGGTGAGACCAACGGACTGCCTTGAATGTTGATTCGTATTAGAGGCTGCTGGCTGATTGAATCAACGGCTCGTGCGAAATCTGGAATGTCTGCACAATATATGACGTCCAACGACAATCACCACACAGACTATGAAAAAGTTTTATAGGCCTACTGCACACTTCGTTTCATATTTATAATTATGAAGATTTAAAAAAAAAAACAAATGTAATCTACACTGTAATCATTTTTCAACGTTAAAAATTATCACTGTTTTTTTTTTTTTTAAATAAAAAAGTTTTGCATATCTNTCTTCCTATGTCCAGTTCCCGGTGAGACCAACGGACTGCCTTGAATGTTGATTCGTATTAGAGGCTGCTGGCTGATTGAATCAACGGCTCGTGCGAAATCTGGAATGTCTGCACAATATATGACGTCCAACGAAAATCACCACACAGACTATGAAAAAGTTTTATAGGCCTACTGCACACTTCGTTTAATATTTATAATTATGAAGATTTAAAAAAAAAAACAAATGTAATCTACACTGTAATCATTTTTCAACGTTAAAAATTATCACTGTTTTTTTTTTTTTTAAATAAAAAAGTTTTGCATATCTGAGCACGGAAATGCTCGACCGAATAAATTATATTCTTTTTAAAAGCTAAATTCAACTTGTGAACTGTTTGTGCGATTAAATTCCTGATATCCGGCATAAGAACATCGATCTAACAACCTTCAAAGCTAATTCTATGTTCCAAAACCAAGTCTTACATTTGACTCATTCAATTCCCAGAAAGATGGCGATGAATATCATAGGGGTCAAAGTGTTTTCCGGTTGCCTCTTCTTTTTCCTGGCCATCTTCTTTGGCTGGACGCCTTTCTGGTGTCTCAAGAGATGCGTCAGCGACGCTCGTGGCAAGCGTCACAGAATCCCCTTGGTGGAGTACCTCCATTCCATGGCGTCTGGGGTCCTTGTGGCCACGTGTTTGCTGAGTCTCCTCCCTGAGAGCTTAGAGACGGTGCGGGAAGTATTGGCGTCCAGACTGAACAAACTGAACAATCACCAACATACCAACAACAACAATCAGACGGGAACCAGTTCAGACAACGGCATTGCCGACCAAGGTGTTTATCCCTTAGCCGAACTTCTTTTGGCTTTCGGATTTTTATTTATTTACATGACCGATACCGTGATAAAAGCGTGGCAGACTTCCTCCAAGAGAAAAATTCTCCATTCGCCGGATGAGACTGTGCTTTATCAAAGATCGGATAGAGGCAAAAATAAACAAGGGGATAACTCAAGGGCGCACCGATGGATGAAGCCCAGGTTTTCTGTAGATGAGAGCGAGTCTCCCGGTGCACAAGACGGAAGGGGCGAGTTCTTGCAGCTCAGCACTTCTTTGGAAGAAGACAGGTCGTCCGAGCATTTTGAGACAGACCTCGGAGATACGGACGTAATGTTCTCGGAAGAAGACCACCCTTTAGCCCAGAAGGACAAAATTGTGATAATCGGTGGCTCTGATCAGCTGCGATCAATGGCGCTTGTTGCTGCCCTGTGCATACACGGTTTTTTTGACGGTGTCATGCTGGGACTCCAGACTTCAGAGTCTGTGATACTTTCATTGCTCTTCGCACTGTCTCTTCACAAAAGCTTCGTGGCTATAGGCCTTTCGCTAACGTTATTGAACAACTACAACGAAAACACCAAGTCCACGCGTATTTTGCTCTACGTTTTTCTATTCGCCGTCGTGGCGCCCGCTGGACTTGCCATGAGCGCTGCCTTCGTTCACACGGCGTTCGACTCGGCGGATAAATCCGGAGAAGCCAGCATCATCCCGGGATGCCTTCAAGCCTTCGCCGTGGGAACCTTCATGTACGTCACCTTCACCGAGACGACGAGGCGTCACGGCAAGAGATCCGTGCAGTCGGAGGTCATGGGTCACGTGGCACTTCTGCTCGGTTTCGCTTTCATGGCCGGGTTAAGAGGTGCTGTCGGGGGAGAGTGATGTTACGTCGGAGGAGACGGTCGGTGCCTTAGAGGTTTTTGGTGTTGCCATGGGTCAATGGTCTGGTTGTTTTCTGGACGATCGAGGTCATGGGGGAGTTTGGGGTGACCTTGTGGGGCAAGAAGTTTTTCTTTTGGATGTAAGGCCCACCCCGCTAGACGTGAAGATCTGACCAACAATTCATTTTCCCCCTCCGGCTGATGATTAACATTGCATGAGCGAGAACACGTTTTGTAAACACATATTTGATCCATGGAACTCTTCTGGATCCAGTGGCGTAGCGAGGGTGTTTGGCGCCCGGGGACAAGATTCGCGCCCGGGGACAAGATCCATTTTTAGCGCCCCTTTTTCTTTTTTTTTCAACTCTCAAACCCATTATTTTCATCAATAAAATAATATCAAAGCACATTTTGGCGCCCCTAACTAGCTGGCGCCCGGGGACATCTGTCCCCCCCCCTGCCCCCACCACGCTACGCCTCTNTTTTGGCGCCCCTAACTAGCTGGCGCCCGGGGACATCTGTCCCCCCTGCCCCCATCACGCTACGCCTCTGTCTGGATCTAAACATTTAAAATGTTTAAAGCTCTGTAAGATGTTTTCGCATGTCCTTAAAATGAACAATTGTTTCAACTACCAGAATGCAGTTTACCCCCCCCCCCTTCAATAACATACGTTTTCTCAAGACATTTTATTGTTTTTATTGTTTATGTCAATCTTTTGCTTACCCACAACAAAGTTTGAAGAATAACTTTGCTCACATCTTGTGGGGTTGTCCCCTTCTTCCGTCCACCATTGTCAAGGCCTTCCACTTACGGTATATAAAAACTTTGAAGGTAACATTTTCCTTTAAATGGTACAAATAACGGCTGCTGTTAAATATGTAGAAATAAACCCATTGGGAAAAATTATAGTTAGCATTGTTTTTCTATTTCACCGTTGTTTTAAAACTTCTTTTTTTCTTTGGGTTTACCTGACTGAATAATATCAAATGTATTTTATTCATCAATTATCTACTCATGGCTTTATTATTTTAGTTGGGATCCATTTATATTGTTTGCAAGGCTATGTAACTATAACTGCATCGTGGATAGCAACTCCAGTGTGGATAGCAACTCCAGTGTGGATAGCAACTCCAGTGTGGATAGCAACTCCAGTGTGGATAGCAACTCCAGTGTGGATAGCAACTCCAGTGTGGCTAGCTGTGTAAAAGATAAGATTTAAGAAACCTAGAGATCTGAATGATTGTATGCCATTGTATAAATTATATTAATAAAAAAAAACCACATACAATTTCATTTTTCTATTTATCATCAGCAATATGACTTTAAAGTCTTCAAAATTTATGACTTACATATATGGCTTTCACGTATTCGTCATGAAGATATAGTCTTTCACTGTGGCTGTATTTTAGGCATTATTTCCACAATTTTCCATTTATATTTGACATATCTTGAGACATGTGCATGCCATGGTATCCCAAGAGATGAAAACGTCATCTATAACTTGATTGTGTCTTTGACCTGACGAATAACCAAGCACCCCCCCCCCCCCCCCCCCCCCCCCATCTTATCTGTTTTGCAGTTTGTTGTATAACTAGCTTGTATCAAGCTTTTTGGAACATAATTATACAATGAAAATAAATGACATCATTATTTATAGACTTGTGTTTACAATTGGTAATAAACTGATTTGGTAAGGGCAAAAATGTTCTCTTAAGTTTTTATTTTAAGAATTTTTGTGGAAATATCAAATAAAGAAACAAAGAAATGAAGAGGTGGGTGAGAAAATAAACACATTATAAAATATTAGCACCTAACGCCCTGTAGCTTAGTTCATTAGAAATAGGTAGTTTGATAGAGTTGGTTAAGTAGGTCAACATAATAGCAAACCAGGATTCTACAGCTAATTTAAACACTCCTAAATCCAAACAATCTTAAATGACCTAAACAGTCCTTAAATGACCTAAACAGTCCTGGCCAGTGCGCAAGTAATTGGGTCATTTACTCCATATTTATTTGGGATCCAGAAATTACTGTCTCACAGTCCTGCCTTCTCACACAACCCTTCAACAATAGCTCTAGAGAAATTTGAAATTTTTTTTATAATCCTTTAATATATAGAATAGTAAAATGCAAGAGAAGTGCAGGGAGCAACATATGCCTTTATACATTGCGTTTGTCGACCTCACTAAGGCTTTTGATCTTGTCAGCAGAAGCGGCCTGTTTCAGATCCTCAAAAAGATAGGCTGCCCTACGCGACTGCTTAACATCATCAAGCAGTTCCACGAAAACATGCAGGGCACAGTGTGCTATAACGGTGCCGCCTCAGAAGCTTTTCCAGTGAGTAGTGGAGTTAAGCAAGGTTGCGTGCTGGCTCCTACTTTATTTGCAATCTTTTTCTCCATCCTACTCCAGTATGCCTTTCAGAACAACAGCGAGGGGATATACATCCACACTAGAGATGACGGCAAATTATTCAACATTGCCCGCCTTAGAGCTAAGACTAAAACAAGAAAGGTCTTGCTGCGGGAGTTCTTGTTTGCGGACGATGCCGCTTTGGTATCTCACACAGCTGACGGCCTGCAGAGCCTCGTATCCAGCCTATCCGCTGCCTGCAAAGAGTTTGGCCTGACAATTAGCCTAAAGAAAACTAACATTATGGCAC